GCCAGGAAACCTAAGCAGGCGGTGGTGGGGTGGCATGAGGACAAGGACAACACAGCAACCAACCAACCGGAGGAGTGTGTGCTCTTCCTTGGGGCACAGCTGTCAGGGGTGGAGCACAGGGGCAGCTGCTGCTCCTCTTGCAGGGGCAGCTGTCTGGCCTGGCTTCTCAAGGGGAATCCCCCAACCCCTTGCCACAGGAAGCAGTGGGCTGGGACTTGGGAGAGCAGGAGGTGAACCTTTGTGCCTGCAGCCCGCAATAGCCAGCTGTGATGAAGATGAGCTTTGCTGTGAGACAGTGACTCTGGCCTGAGGAAGCCCAGGCCATTTCCCTCCACCATGGTCTCATACCTGGGTGTGACAAGGTGTGGCTGGACTTGGGGAGGTGGAGCTGACCCCAGCTCTCCTGGCTCTCAGGTACAAAGAGGAAGAGCCAGCTCTCCTAGCTCTCAGGGGTACCGCAGGGAGTGAAAACTGGGACTAGGACAGTCTTCAAGGAACTTGGGGGGACAGAACTACGTCACTTGAGACACTGATGGCGTGGTTAGCCCAGCAGATTGCCTTTCTCTGGGCCTGATTCCCACCTCCAGGTGAATCCCACCCACAGGACGACTGTTAATTTCACTCCTCACTGAGACCACTGCTCTGCCAGAGATCCAACACCCCATGTGAGTCTGGGGCCCCAGTGGCCTCCCCTCAGCCTTCCAGCTTATGGAGAAGTTGAGTGGACCCCTCCCTTGTCCATTTGCAGCTTCTAAGCGCCAACTCACCCACTTCCTGTCTATCCTCCCAGCCCTCTCTGGGGAGCCCTGCCTGGGGACAAGCTGCATAGCTCCATCTGTCACACAACAGGAGGTCACTTCGTACATTTCTTCCTGCCAGGCTTTGTCCTCTGGGAAGGGAGAGGACTTTCTAAGAGACAAAGAAAATTCTGAATAACCTAGTAAATAAAAGGGAGGAAAGAAACACTACTCAATTCCCCCACACTACTGCGATGTGAAATGCCAGGATGCAAAGACGACATCCCTCAGGACATCTGTGACCTCTGCCCAGGACTGCTGGGAAATGATACTGACACTTGTGGCTCCCACTTCTGGCTGCCTGCCCCAGACCCCTAAGGCTTTCTTCTCAGGAAGGGTGTGGGGCCAGCAGAGTACTTTCCAGGGCCTAGGCCCAACACTTGCTGCCATGCCACCCAATACCTAGAAGCCATCCCAATAGGGAACCAAGTGTTTTTTATTAGTGACATACAAATACAACTGATGTACAAAGGGATTGCCTTTCCCTCTGATATCCAGTGATAACAAAATGCTAAAGATATATATGTATATATCTCCCAACAAGTTTATCTTCCAAGTTGCCTCTAAAAACAAAAACAAAAACAAAAAAAAACAAAGCAGAGTTAAAAAAGAACCATATGTATGTCATATAAACACATATGACATCAACAACAACCTGAAATAGGGTGGCCTAAACAAGAAACAACAAAAGCCTGGTACCAAAGGCCTAGTTTGTCAAAACCAAGACCCACAATGGAGGAAGATGGAGCAATAGGCTCCACACCCATAGCAGTGACCTGCCTGCTGTGTGGCCAGCACCCTCGAGGGGCCCTTGGGATGTGGCCTACAGGGGCTGAGGGAACTGGCCATGCCACCAAAGGCTCTATGGGAGGCTTGGCAGCAAGAGTCTCACTGGTAAGTACACACTGAGCTCACATCACATAGTTTTACACTGGGAATTCCTGGTGGTCCTCTGGAGTGGAAGGCATCAGAAATGTATGACACATACTTATCTTCTGTCTTTTGTTGTTTGTGTGCTAGTCCTGGGGCTGGAACTCAGGGCCTGGGTGCTGTCTCTGAGCTTTCATGCTCAAGACTAGTACTCTACCACTTGAGCCACAGCTCCACTTCCAGCTTTTTTGGTGGTTAACTGGAGATAAAGAGTCTCAGATTTTCCTGCTCAGAGTAGCTTCACATCATGATTCTCCTATCTCAGTCTCCTGAGTAGCTAGGATTACAGGCATGAGCGACCGGTGCCCAGCTGATTTGTGTCTTTTGGGAGATCAGTGGAAGAGCTTCCTCAACATGCTCCTGCTGTTGCATGCTTCTTGGAAGGAGTCTACCAACCCCTTTCTAGCAACCACAGCTCTCCACAAGGTAAAATCCCCAGGAGCCGGCAGGTGAGGCTAAGGTAGACCTGCTCCAGTGTAAAGCTGCCAGGTCCCGTGCTGATCAGGCTGAGAGCAGCACAGTGCACTCGATGGAAGCCAGGCACAAGAGGTTCTGTGTGCCCAGCCCCTGCGTAAGCAAGGCTCCGGGGAGAAGCAAGGGCTGTGGGGAGCCCTGCCAGGACAGACAGCCTGAGTCAGGGTAGAAGATGGGGGAGACTCTGAGGGCAGGAAGACCCACAGACCCCACGAGAATAACTGCACAAGCGTGAGACTTCACCACACTCCCTGAGGGAGGCAGAACTCAAGGGTGTCGAAGCCAGGTGTCAAGTGCTTCTTCCTGGGGGAGGATTTGGTTTTCCTTCCTTGGCAGAGGAACAAGGCCTTGAGAGCAGGATGGGTGTAAGTTCTGAGCCCACACCTTCTTCATGCTCAGAGAAGAGGGCCTTTCCTCTCTTTGCCACAGGATGATCCCAGAGAGGGAAAGCAGCTGTGAGTGCCACCGAAGGGCATTCCTGCTGTGGCCCGGCTGCGCCAAAAGAGCAGCACCAGTGCCTCACTGAGGCGGTGAGGGGGGCAAGGCTGGGGAGCACAGGCGGAGGGGCCTGCTGCTGGCTGGGCTCTCTGAAGAGGAAGAGCTGGGGAGGAATGCCCCAGTTTCAGCAAGCTATCAGCACCAATAGGCGAGCGGAAAGAGCACAGCTGTACAAGGAATGTGGGGTCCTTCTGGGGGAAGACAAGGGCTCCCTGATGTTATTCCCCCTGGAGACTAAGAACAGAGGTGATTGGTGAGGCCAGAGGCAAGGCTGGGAGGCAATGGAGAGGACGGGCACACCTCTAGCTTTCCTCTAGAACAAAAAGCTCAAATCACTGTCATGAGATGAAGTGAAATTCAGAATGCAGCGAAGTCCAAAAGCCCAGAGAAGCAGTCGGCCCCATGGCAGCCCCCTCTTCCTGGTGTCTGACTGACAGGATGAAGGGACAGCACCCCCTAGACGTGGCTGTTCCCTTGAGATGACAGCACTCTGTGGAGTGGATCCCTAAGAACATGGCTAGCAGGTGCATCCTGCATCTTGGCAGGAGGGCTGAATGGCCTCTACCAAAGTGCTCAGTTCTCCAAGGATGCATCCCAAGCCCATGTCCACGCCAGATCTTCTGGGGGTACCTGCAGCCCTCAGAGCAGGCCTCCAGGAATGTCAAAGATGGGTATAAACATTCCATTTTTCTGAGTTGGGAGGGGGGACTGTCAGGAAACCAGCTGCATAGTAGGGGGGGATGGGACTTGTGCTCCAGGGCCCAAGAGCCAAGTGACAGCCATTAGGCCAGGATGAACTGCGCAGTCGTCCTGCCAGCTCCTTCACAGTACGTCCTCGCAGCCCTTCCTGGCACTCTGCTCTTCCAGGAGAGCGGTGGCAGGTAGCTTGGACCACTGCTCCCCAGAGTCCTGTGCCCTTACAGAGCCGTCTGGCACAGGCAGGGCTGAGGAAGCCACAGCTGAGGTACCTGGCAAGTGGCATGGGACCAGGGGAGAAGGCAGGCCTCGGGAGATAGCATTTGTACTTGCTCGTGGCTCTGGGAGTTCAGTGGCAGCAGCCACCACAGTGACCACCTGCGTGGGAGTGCTGGCTGTCCCCGAACTTGGTCCTCCGGCTCAGGATCTCATAGGAGCAATCCTCCCCACAGCAACCAGACATGCTGGGGGAAGAGTCATCGATTTCAAATCTGCAAAGGAAACAGGAGAAAAGCGCTGCTGGGACCCTTCGGATGCAGGGGGCTCATCTCCTCTCACCAAGCTCAAACCCCACAGGCATGAGGTGTAAGTAGGGACCAGGACCAGAACAGTGGCATCAGGACAGCACCTCCTACCACCCAGAAGGACCACACCAACACCAGCTCCTTACTGCAGCGCTTCTCTGAAGAACTGGTAGGCGCCATGATTGTGTTTAAATACTGTTAACATCACCTTCTTCATCTGTGTGCTGGAAGAAAGAGCAGCAATCACCCCTTAGAAAGAGAAACACGAGTCCAGGCCTTTTCTTCCTCCTCTAGCCTGAGAGGCACTGACACCATGGCATGTAAGGGATCCTTGCCACTTCCTCAGTGGCACCAATCCGCAGGTACAGAGGTTAGCTCACACCAGGCACTCAAAAGATGCTCTGAGCTCTGCACCGGTAGCTCACCCCTGTAATCCTAGCTACATAGGAGGCTAAGATCTGAGGACTGAGGTTCAAAGCCCACCCAGGCAGAAAAGTCTCCATAAGACTTTTACGTCCAATTAACCACCAGGAAATCAGAAGTGGCACTGTGACTCAAAGTGGTAGAGCACTAGCATTGAGCAAAAGAGCTCAAGGAGTGCTGGGAAGGTGGCTCAGTGGTAGAGTGATTGCCTCGCATGCATGAATGAGGCCCTGGATTCGATTCCTCAACACCACATAAGCAGAAAAAGCTGGAAGTAGCACTGTGGCTCAAGTGGTAGAGCGCTAGCCTTGAGCGGAAGAGCTCAGGGACAGTGCCCAGGCCCAGAGTTCAGGCCCCACACTGACAAAAAAAAAAAAAAGCCAGAGCACTGGTGGCTCACGCCTATAATCCTAGCTACTCAGAAGGCTGAGATCTGAGGATCATGGTTCAAAACCAGCCTGGGCAGGAAAAGCCGGTGAGACTCTTATCTCCAATAAACCTCTAGAAAACCGGAAGTGGACTGTAGCTGAAGCGGTAGAACGCTTGCCTTGCGCTGAAGAGCACAGGGACAGCGCCCGAGCCCAGCCCAGAGTTCAAGCTCCGCGAGCAACAACAACAACAAAAGATGCTCTTTGCACCCAGCATAAGGGCAAAGCTTGAGGTCATATGCCCTTCTCCCCTAGGATTCTTCCAATGAGGATAAAAAAAACTGAACTTGCTGAAGGCCAGTGGTTTACACCTGTAATCCTACCTACTCAGGAGGCTGACATCTAATGGTTGAGGGTATAGTCCAGCCCCAGGAGGTAAAGTCTGTAAGACTCTTATCTCCAATTAAGCAGCAAAAGGTGTAAAGTTACTGCCTAAAAAGAAATGTAGCTGGCCGGCGCAGGTGGCTCATGCCTGCAATCCTAGCTACTCTGGAGGCTGAGATCTGAGGATCATGGTTCAAAGCCAGTCCAGGGCAGGAAAGTGCATGAGACTCTTATTTCCAATAAACCACTAGAAAACCAGAAGTGGCGCTGTGGCTCAAGTGGCAGAGCACTTGCCTTGAGCTGAAGAACTAAGGAACAGTGCCCAAGCCCAGAGTTCAAGCCCCACAACCGACCAAAAAAAAAAAAAAAAAGAAAGAAATGTAGCTGGGTGGCCAGTGGCTCTGTAATCCTAGCTACTCAGGAGGCTGAGATCTGAGGATGGTAGTTCAAAGCCAACCCTGTCAGGAAAGTCTGTGACTCTTTTATCTCTAATACACTACTCAGAATAAGCAGAAGTGGCTCAAGTGGTAAAGCGCTAACTTTGAACAAAGGAGGTTCAGGGCTAGTGCCCTGGCCCTGAGTTCAAGCCCCAGGACTGGCCAAAAAAAAAAAAAGAACAGAGGACTCCTTAAGGGTCCTACTGAACAGCAGCTCTTTCCAGCTCTGCTCTAAGGGAGTCCTTCCTTACCTGTTGGCCATGAGCTGCAGGATCTGAATGAGGAACTTCCCCAGGCCTTTCCTCCGCACTTTGCTTTCCAATTGCACTTCGTAGCTGGGTGGAGAAAGCCAAGGGTGAATGTTCAGGTAACCTGTGAAGCTGTGGCAAGGCCCACCAGAGGACCCTGCAGCCATAGCAGCCCCTAGACCTAGAGGCCCACTGGGCTCTGCCACTTGGCCTCCCTCCCACAATGCCCCACTCCAAGCTCTTACCAGTACAGGACTTCATCCCCACATTCCACATCAAATCGGAAGTGAGAAAAGGCAACAGGAACAGAACTGTTCTCCCAAGCAATGAGGTACCAGGCCCGGTCATCTGTCATTTCTTCCCGTTTCTCTCGGTCCTTCCAGCCCCATTCACTTTGCTCATACCTGGGAATTTGGGAAGCAATCAGGTCAGGAGAAGACTAGGAGAAAATTTGGCTGGTGAATAGACTACCCTCTGGCCAGGCCATGCTCACATGGTTTGCATATTTGTTTTGGTCAGGTCGAAGGCCCAATCCACAGTGGCAGGCTCCAGTCCAGATACTCGCTTACACTCAATGGAGACATTCAACCTGAGAACACAGGAGGGCATTAGCTGGTCAGGGGTCCAGTGTTCCAACAAGAGCCTAGAGCTTCTTCCTGAGAAGTCTGACAGGGAAAGGGAAACGTCCCTGTCTCAATCACTCCACCAAGGAAAGCTAAGTTTCTGACCCAACTAGGGAAGGTGCTGAGCATGTTGGGCCAAGATTAGCAACCACCACTGCACAGCCCACCCCTAAAACACAGGGATGGCTTCCTGCCTCCCAAGCCTCCCAGCACTGTCCACATCAGATTTAGCACCCACCCATCTCATCCATCTCAGCTACTTTTGTGCTCTTCTCTATGTTCCAACTTTTCTGTATTTTCTTATAAACACTCATATCTTTTTTGTCTCTCTTCTTGCCCTTAGGCATTTTTTCCTGTTGCTTCCATTTCTGTACTATAGCTGGGCTCCCATGAGACCTCTTCCCTCTTAGCTACCAATCTTATTTTCAAAACCACATAGGTGCCCTTCAAAGTCGTAGCTTCACACAAGGACCCCAGGGACAACCCCCCAAATCCTGCCTGCCTCTCCCCTTTGACACTCAGTGGGTGATCTGAGCTCATTTAACAGCAGAGCAGGATTTAATGCACCACTCTGTTCCTAAAGTGAAAAGCAAGAGATATCTGCTCTTAAGGAAATTTAAGTACAATACAAACTCCCCAGGGAGTCTAAAATCATATTCTCTACATACTACCACATTCTGAAAAAGACTATATAGGCAGGGGCTGGTGGCTCACGCCTGTAATCCTAGCTACTCAGGAGGCTGAGATCTGAGGATCGAGGTTCAAAGCCAGCACAGGTGGGAAAGTCCATGAGACTCTTATCTCCAATTAACCACCAGAAAACCAGAAGTGGTGCCATGGCTCAAAGTGGTAGAGCACTAGCCTTGAGTGAAAAAGCTCAGGGACAGCATACAAGCCGAGTTCAAACCACCATGGATAAAAAACAAACAAAAAACTAAGGTATCACAGGATGGGGTCTCTAAATCATGTCAAAGAAGAACAGGTACCAGTGGCTCACACTGTGATCTTAACCACTCAGGAAGCTAAGATCTGAGAATCCCATTTCAAAGCCAACCTGGGCAGGCAAGTCCGTGAGACCCTTATTTCCCATTAACTACCAGAAAACTGGAAGTAGCACTGTGGCTCAAAGTGGTAGAGCACTAGCCTTGAGCTCAAGAGCTCAGGGACAGCACCCAGGCCCAGAGTTCAAGCCCCACAACAACAACAAAAAATGGGGTTGGAAAGGTGGGTCAAGTGATAGAGTGCTAGCCTTGTGCTAAAGGACAGCACCCAGGCCTGGAGTTCAGGCTTCAGGACCAACCAACAAAAAAGGAAATACAAGAGATGGGGTTGGAGGTGTGGCTGTGTTAGTAAAGCAATAGTCAGTGAGCAAAAATGTCAAGTACCGAGTTTGAGTCCCGGTCCCCATCCACAAAACAAAAAATATAAATAAATACCTAAAAATGAACTATACAACTTGAGTGAAGAAAAGACACTGTTCAAAAGAAATGTTCTCAGGGCTGGGAAGGTGGCTCAGTGGTAGAGCGCTTGCCTTGCATGCCTGACGCCCTGGGTTCAATTCCTCAGCACCACATAAGAAAAAAGCCGGAAGTGGCGCTGTGGCTCAAGTGGTAGAGCGCT